CAGCCCCTCTCGCTCAGTTTTTGCGCTCGCTCGCAATGTGTCGCTCGCGCTCTCAACATTTCTGCCCGTGTGCGCTCAACTCTTTCTCTACACCGTCATGTTTGTGACACAAAACCAGCCAATCACAGACATATCACAGAACAACTAAGCTGTAGTGCCTCTTCACCTCACTGTGCAATACCTTTTGTGCAATACTTTTGTAAATAGTCAACAGTGCAATAGACCTCAATACTTGAAATGTGCAATTCACTTGTATTTTTATTTTTTATTCCTATTTATTCTATTTATCCTCTTTGTATATTTTATTTATATTTGTCTCTGTATTATATATATGTGTGTGTGTGTGTGTGTGTGTGTGTGTGTATATATATAATATTCTGTAACTCTGTAACTTCGGTCGTTGCTGTGCTTTTTTGGAAATCGAATTTCCCAGAGAAACCCACCCGAGGGATTAATAAAGTTCTATCTTATCTTATCTTATCTTACATGGATGCACAAAAATCTGATGGACTTTTGTCTGCTGGACCAATTACAATACATCCATATTGAGGGGAAAAGGAACGCGATTCGTCCCACATTCAGCTAGAATGAAAAAAAGACACAAAGCTGGAGTTATTCTGTCTTTGCTGCACAGCTGCCTCTTCTCCTCTTCTCCTCTCATTCTCCCCCCTCCCTCTCCTGTTGCTACTTCAATCATGAAACTGATCAATGATCAGCTGATCGTCTCTCTTGTTTGTTGAGCCAGAAAGAAGAAACCAGCGGATGTCGCGCTAAACAACAGCAGCACGTTCAGGCTTGATCAGCTATTGTTAGGATTTATTTAATATTACTTTCTAGTATCAGCTGATATTTGCTGGAGCCACAGCTGTAAAGCTGCTGGTCATGATGTCGGTTTGGAAACATGAAGGTGATACAAATCATACATGTATACCAACAACACAGTGTACGTCACTGTCACAGCAGCGTTTTAGTTCAAAGGCTTTATGGTTTTTCCTGTAACACCTGGTGGTGTAGTCGGTGATTTTTGGTCAGTTCAGCCTTTTTTGTTATGTTTAACCCGAGTGACCCGGTCAGCTGGTGGGTAACAGGCATCTCCGAGAACGTTAGAGCACTTATGCAAATATGTGATGTCTTGATGAATCGAGCAGATATTTGAAGTTTACACAGAAACATTCTCCATGAAAATATCTTAAAGTTTATTTTGTGCCACAGAAGAGTAATATTTCAAACTCCGCCACTCTGTGTTCCTCCGCCACTGCCTCGTTGAGTTTTGGACGAATGGATTCTGGGATATTGCATTTCTCATTTCGAGCTGATTGGAGACCAGAACAGCCAATCAGATTTTTGTGCATCCAAGTCTGTGATTGGCTGGTTTTGTGGTCACAAATCATAACGGTGTAGAGAAAGAGTTGAGCGCCACGGGCAGAAATGTTGAGAGCGCGAGCAACACATTGCGAGCGAGCGAACAAAAACTGAGCGAGGGTGCTGTGTGTGTGTGTGTGTGTGTGTGTGTGTGTGGAGGTGTGTGTGTGTGTGTGTGTGTGTGTGTGTGGATAATAGCAAACACTGAAATACATTTTTGCACGCAGCAATGAATTTTGTTCACTCAAATTCAGCTTTTCTTCGCTCAAAATAAATTTCTCCTCAAAATGCAACACTTGCACCTGCAAAAAGTTTTTATGTGCGCTCAGAATAGTGGCACAAAAATAACGCCATAGAAAACCAGCATCTTAATATGAACTGTGATGACACTTTTTACTTTTAATTGAAGGTGTAAATGCACCAAAAATAAACCAGTGTGAGACCACGGTGTTACTTACTGCTCCACTCAAACGTCTCCACCAGAACAAACCGCAGAGGTAGGAGGTGCTGCGCCGTGTGCGACACATGACGGCAAGAAAGAGTTCTTGAAACAGTCATTTAAGATTCAAACTGCAGGTTGCTCCCGAAACTGCTTTTATCCAAACAGTTTTTCATCCGTAAATATTTTGTCTTTATTGTCATTCTTCTACAAATGTAAACGTTGAATTGAACAGCTGAGGAGACGAGCTGACGGACTCTCGTCTCTGCAGGAGCTCTACAAGACGACGGAGGAGCTGGAGGTGAACAAGGCCGACAAGCAGATGGTCGAGAGTGAAATCGTGAGTTGGCTCATTTTAACCTCCCACCTGTGGGAGGAGTCAGACTCACCTGCTTCAGTTTCAGATGTTTGGGTGTGATCTGTCCCTCCATTTCACTGCAGGGCAACCTGCATGTGGCGAATAAAGCCTTGATTGATTGATTGATTGATTGATTGATTGATTGATTGAGACGTGTGTGAGGCGACTGTTTCAGGACACCTGTCGGCCTCCGCCTTCTCGCCGTTGACCTCCCGATTCTCCCTCTGTGCCCGTAGAGAGCAGACAAATCGGCCCTGGAGGGGAAAGTGAGCCGGCTGCAGCTCGACTCGGTGACGGAGCAGCTGAGCGGGATGTTCCACGAGCTGCTGAACAAGGTGACGAGTCAGGAGCAGGACTGGCACAAACTCATGGGCAAGCTCTCCACCGAGATGGAGTGTAAGGTAGGAGAGCCACGCCTGCAAACTCAAACTGATCCGAGATCAGAGGGAAGGGTAATGGGTTGAAATTTAAAAACATATTTTGTCTTTAAATCGTGACGACGTCTCTGCTACAGCTGTGACAGAAGCTGCAGTATTGGAGATTTTACGCTTCGGTCATAACAGGCTGATCCGGGGCGTCACATGTGTGATGTAGGGTTTTCAAATTAACACCACAGGAGCATCTGTTAAAGATCTCAGACTGTGTCTATATGTCAGCTTGGGTCTTAGACTCCGCCTCTCTGGATACGGAGGCCCATCTCCCCTCACCACACTCCCTGCTGGTGGCTGATGCCCTCAGACGTTGGTGTGTTGGTGGTTCTTGATGTCTGGGGCTGGGCGCTCATGTATGTACCAACTTACTCCTGGTGGCTGATTGGCGGGGTCTGGCGCCTGTGGCCCGGCTGGGCCCCTTCCAGGGGGTGGGGTGGCCTCAAGCCTCTGGGCCTGAGGCTCAGTCCTCTCTGGCACAGCTCGCTGCCGGCAGAGCAGGCGGGCACGTCACTGCAACCCCTCTGGCCTCTGCTCCGTGGCTGCTGGGTGACCTCTTGTTTGGGGCTCTCCTCAGCTCTTCCCAGGAGGGTGGCACGGTTGCCCCCCTGGTGGTCCTCCTTGGGTCCTCGTATTCTGGGGCCTCTGGATGTCTGGGGCCTGGATCTCCTCCATACCTGCTTCATGCCCTGGGGGACGGGGCTATGGCTCCCCACACTCCCTAGCAGATCGTTACATGGAGAAACCTTTTGAATACAAGCGTGCTGATCCACACAGGTGTTCAGAGACACAAACTACACCTTTCTTGGCTGCTACCTCAAAGCACATTGTGCGCTGCACTCTAAAAAGTAATTCAGAGGCTTTTAGTAAACATCACTATAAATATAAGTTAGAGCCTGATCAAATCTGTGAATATCCTTTTAGTAATTATTTGAGTTTGAGAAGCAAAGAGGTCCAGACCTCCCTCTCCCCAGCCACCTCCTCCAGCTTGTCCGGGGGAATACCAAGGCGTTCCCAGGCCAGCCGAGAGATATAATCTCTCCAGCGTGTCCTGGGTCTGCCCCGGGGCCTCCTCCCGGTGGGACATGCCTGGAACACCTCACCCAGGAGGCGCCCAGGGGGCATCCTTGTCAGATGCCCGAACCACCTCAGCTGGCTCCTTTCGATGTGGAGCAGCAGCTGCTCTACTCTGAGCCCCTCCCGGATGGCCGAACTCTCACCCTATCTCTAAGGGAGATAGATGTTCATTGTGTTTTTTAAATACTCTGAGCGTTTGTGTTTGCGCTCCTGGGTTGACATTCATCCTTCAGGTATGTGAGGCTTTGAGCTGAAAGGGGAAAGGCTCTTGTCTTTTTAGTGCTTGTTTATTTTGATTTTTTGCCATGTTTATGAAAATTGTTTAAAATTTCTTGTATTGTTTTGCCAAAAATGTCTTATGTAACAAAATTAAAATTTCGTTTGGAAAAATGTCTAACATGTGGTCATCTTTCATACATGTATTATGAAAAACACAACTACATATTAGTTTGTTTGGTTTTTCAGACTTAGACTACCAGTGAAATACAATAACATTCATATTTGAATATTTGAATCTTGTAATCAGAAGGTTGCCGGTTCGAGCCCCGGCACCAACAGTCTCGGTCGCCTACTGGTGGTGGTCATTAAACGAAGCTTAATGAAGTCCGGCAGCCTCGCCTCTGTCAGTGCGCCCCAGGGCAGCTGTGGCTACAATGTAGCTGCCATCACGTGTGTGTGGATGGGTGGATGTGTAAAGCGCTATACTATACAAATACAGGCCAGTTACCATATTTAATATTAAGTACAATTTTGATTACGTTCCGTTTACAATATGAAGTAAATGGAACAAAACTTTGGATTAACTGACATCTATATTTACAGTTACATGACCAAGCATGTCAGTGTTATTTACTCAATTTTTTCATGTTTGTGTAAAACTACAATTATTCATTTCAACTTAATATGTTTAAGCTTTAGTTATTCAATTGATCAAGTATATTGAACAGGTTTGACCGGTTTCCAATCTACTCAATATTTTTAAGTGTAAAAGTGTTGCCTCAGAAATTGTAAGTAAATGTCAGTGTGCTGCACAATAACATGTAATATTTAGTATCTACTGCTAGCTAGTTTATTGTGATGGTGCTGTTTTTATTATGTTGCTCTTTGTTGTTTGTTTTCTCTTCTGGGTTTTTTTCTCCATGCAGGTGACCCAGCTGTTTTGTTTCTTTTTCTTTCTTCCCCCCCTTCTCACCGTCTCTTCTCCCCTCTGGTTTTCTTTCTCTCCCTCTCTTTCTTTCATTCTTTCTCCCTGTCCTATCCCCCAGTCATGTCTGTCCCGTCTGTAACAACTGAAAATCAAATCAAATAAATACATAATTATAATAAAGGTCAATCAAATGGACCAATATGGCGAGGCCATGATGATCCACTTGGTAAAATAAATCCACTTGGCATCTTTCTTGGCCTTCAGACAACGATTCTGACGGCTAAAGATCCAAACAGGACAAAAAAAAAAAGATCTGAATCTCAGTGACCTCAAAGTCAGGGTGTTGTTGTTTTGATTAAGAAAACCAAAAGAAGGTGGAAATATTTTTATAATTTACTGGAAACTATGAATGCTAGAAGTTTTCTAGAATTGATTTTAAAATAAAAGAGTCATGGTTCTGATCTGATGGTTCTGATCTGGTCCCTCTGCAGCTGAACCGGATCGAGCTGGACTCTGTGAAGAAGCAGCTGGAGGATCGCTGGAGGAGCATCCACGAGAAGCTGCAGGCTCAGGCGGCGCCGGAGTACGAGGACGCCGCCGGGATCAGGAAGTGAGAACACTGCACTCTTAGATCACAGGTGCTTCCAGGAGATCCAATCAGGAGAAAGAGGGCTTTTAGGGAGGGGCTAACAGAGATAGGATGAATGGAAGGATTATTTTGACCTGTCAGCCACGCACAGCTGCTCTGACAGATGATATGTGTCCCTAACATTATTATCATTGGCTTTGGTCTGAATGTCATTTGTTGCTAAATGTTCCATAATTAGCGTCTGACTGAAACATCTGCAGACAGTGTTTGTTCAGATTTCGTCTGAATCAGACACGTGAGGTAGCAAAGAAGGAGGAGCATTTTTTATGAATGTCTTCAGAACATTTTAAATATGTGCAGCAGGTGAAGGGCTGAGAAGCACTGAAGATTTGTCCTTGTGTTTATTTCCAGACAGCTCGTGGAGAGATTCCACTGCCTCTCCTGCGACCGGCCCATCGTGAAGCACACGCCCGGACCGTGAGTGAACGCCTCTCACAGAGTACGTGACCCAAACCTCTGAGCTGCTGTCTGAACTCCTCCCCTCTCCTACATTTGTACCTTTTCTTTGAGGGTTAAAGGCATCTGGTGACGCTGCCCTCGTTTCCTGCATTCCCCTCGCACAAGTCCATCCGGCCGTTCACCGTTTACACCATGGAGCAGTTACGCCAGCACTACCGGAGGTGAGTTACCTGCACACACACGGTGAGGCTCCTCAGTGTCTTCTGTTCTGATGAGCCCCTGTCACCGCCTCAGCCAGCAGCCAGGCACCAACCGCTGCAGGTACGAGGCAGCTGAGGCGTGCAGGAGCAGGGAGCGGCTTCAGCGGAGCCGCGTCACCGCGTGCAGGCAGATAGAGAGCGTAGAGATGCAGGGACGGCCGCAGCACAGCGATGGCACGAACACAGCGCAAGGCCAGCAGTGAGTCAGGGCAGGGGTGGAGCTTAAAGTCTGCAGTTGCTACAGGGTTAATGTGGAAAGAGCAAGACTGTAATTTCATGCGTTCACTCGATCACTGAGTTTGAACCTCAGTGCTGCCGTTACCGTTCTGCAGCGTTTCTGAGGTGAAGCTACAGAAAATCAGCACGTACATGATGATGACGTCATTAGAGGTCAGTGAGCAGATCTGTGATTTCTGTGTTGATCACCGTTCCATTTCTCTGTCCTCACGCCTCGGGCAGCGAGCGCATATCTGAGCTGACGGATTACGGTCACCTGGCTGCGGCGCGGAGCTGCGGCGGGAGTCACCACACCAACGCTGCAGGCAGCCAGCGCCGTGGCGGCCCGCAGTACACAAAACTCCACGGTGAGGTGGACGGTGCGATTCAGGTACGTCTGAGGAAAACGGGCCTGAAACTGCAGCGAGGTCTTAAAGATATGTTTGAGGTTTCACATTGTGTGTGTGTGCGTGCGTGCGTGTGTGTGTGTGTGTGTGTGTCAGTCGGAGGAGGTGGATATCGTTGGACTGGACGGGCGCATTTACAAAGGGCGCCTGAACGTCCCGGCCTGCAGGAACTCCGAAACTAAACTGCCAACGATCCCCACCAGAGACGGTAAACTCTGAATCCATCACACGTCACTAACGCTGCGTCACGCTCCGAGGGAAAAATACTCACATCTGAATAACACACAGGCTACACAACACAACCCCCAACAAACACCTGAAGCTCGACTCCAGCAGACGTTTGCACTGAGTTCAAGTTAAAAATTCCAAAAGAAGCAGCCTGACAGCGCTGCTGTGAACACACAACAATGACACCTGGTTGTCATGGTGACTCCAGGTTTGCAGTGCTTGTTCTTCTTCGCTTTGGTCACATGTTCCACCTGCTCCGTGTCTGCAGGCGTGTATAAGAGTAAGGACAAAGCCAAGCCTGCTGCCTCTCCGGAGGTGGGACCCAGCACTCCTCTTCATCCGCCCTGCAGTCCCAGGAGCGCAGCGTGCAGCCGCTCGGGTGAGTCATTCACGCAGGTAAAGGTGTCATCAGTACCAGTTAAAACAAAAGAAGCTAAGAAGGTGAGGAACACCCGAGAGTAGCAGGAGGAGGTGGCCGGGGTGAGGGAGGTCTGGGAGTGTCTGTTGTGTCTGCTCCACCTTTAAAGTTTAAACTGAAGTGAATCCTTCTGTGTCGACAGCAGAGCACCTGAGTGTCTGTTGCTTTTAAATTCATCTGATGTCCAAATGTCCTGCAAACACAAACCTGGCTCCTCCTCCTCTCCTTCCTCTCCAGCATCCAGCTGCTCCGGTCGTGATTGGCCCGTCTCGGCTCTGGGCTGTGCGTCTCAGAGCTCCATCGCTCAGGGTTCAGCTGCAGCTGACAGCACCGCAGAGCCTCCAAGCAACGAGCCCCCCAACCTGTAGGGGGCAGCGTCTGCCTCCATGTTGTGTTGAGTTTGCGAGTGCAGACAGAGGTTCGGGCAACCTCCTCCTGCTTATCGTCCAGACTACACATCCCAGAAACCCCCTGTGATGTGGCTCTGTACTTATTTTTTTCACTCTGAATATTGTTGTTAACAGATAATAAACTTTAGTGTGAATTTAATCACTTTTTAGAACATCAGATATTAAACATCAAACAGATGTTATTTATCATAAGTGAGCCACGTTTAACGTTTTATCTTAAAGGATCCTTTTGATGTAATTCACAGTAAAACGTCACCGAGTCTGTCTGAACATGGTCTTTGTATGTTTATTTGAAAAACAGAGGATTCCCTCTTAATCAAACCACCTGATCAACTATTGATTACTGAAATAATCAATAGTCTTTAAAAGGCTTTAAGAAGGTCAGGGGAGGTATAGAATTATTTTACCTTTCTTTCACCTCCACACCCATTTACTCACCTCAGCTCGTGTGATTAGATGGGGACAGTCCCATAGGACTTAAAGTCTGGGACTCTCCACCGGTCGCTCTTAGAACTGAAGAAGCTTCTGGAAACTTAAAGACATCCAGACGCTTTTCTTTCAAAGCTCCCCAGAAAACCTTGTGTGTAGATATACAAATATATATATATATATATGTATATCTACACACAAGGTTTATATACACCTATATATATAAACCTTGTAGCAGTAGGATATATTTTTATAGCAGCAGTGAGAAGGATCAGAAACACTGATCTAAACATGCAGAGCTCTCATAAAGCCTCGTGGGCCAGAGAAGAGTTGTGTTGTTGTCGTGTTGATCTGTCAGCGAGCCGAGGATGGTAAATGGTGTGTATTTGTATAGCGCTTTACACTATACACAATCATCCACACATTCACACATTCAGGACTCAGCTGTTGCATCATGTGGGGAATTACATCATCACTACCAGCAGCAAAAGTACTTCCTGTTAACAGGAACACGAGGCCGCGAGCAGGAAGGACACGCTGATGAGTAAATACGAAAGCAGGAGGGAGAGGTGCGGTTACAACTACAGCTTCCTGTCTTTAAACACATTAGGTCTGTGCTTCAGTCCGACTCCAGGCAGCCTGGAAAACCTGGGAACTCTAAACTGTTTTCCAGTCCTGGAAAACTTCCCAAGTTTATAGATCAGGACCTGAATAAAAAACACTGTAAACACACAATGTAAACAAAGTCTTTATGAGGGTCAGATTTTGCTTTCCCCTCAGTGATGTTTTACACACATCGTGTCTGAAACCAAACTTTTACTCCCTTCATGCATTAAAGTCTCTGTGCAGAAGCTTTTAACGCAGACTGACTTTGACTTTTTCGTGCTTTCTTTTTAAACTACCAGTCACATGAGTGACTAACTGGGCTTTAAATCCAGGCGTCGTATCAAAGGCGCTGTCAGGTGAGGCTGTGGCATCAGAAGCTGAGTTCAGGTGTCAGCACATTCAGTGTGATTCAGGAAGCCGGGTCAGTGTTTGTACACGGACATGCTGGCGTTCAGCTCACTCAAGCCTGGGCTGTGGCCCCTGATGTTCTGTTTCCGTTCAGTCAGGGTGCTGGAAGCCAACTGAGATTTCTTTTACATACGTTTATGTTACACACTGAAGGACGACAGGGTTCATTCAGGTGCACAGGAAGATTTATTGCGCTGAAACACAGCAAAACAATTCAGTGTTACTGGCGGCTTCCATTGTAATAACTGGCCTGCGTTACTTTTGTAGCATTACGTGTAATGGCCATGTATTAATCAGCCCTTAACACACAGAGAAAATGACCAGTAAACAATAGACAACATAACATGTACTGGCTGGTCTATTTCCTATAACTTTAACTGAACCCAGCTAACAGTTTCCTTTCACCTTACTGATGGAACAACACGGTTACAGAGATTAATGCAGGAGGCTAACATGACTTAGCTAGCGCACAAATGTTACTAGCATTACCCACAGATAACGTGAAACAACTCCCTTATTCGCTCACATTAAACACCATATAAACAAGAATTACACTCCAAACATGTTAAATAAGCATCAACTTTACATAAATGTATGTAGTTCTCGTATATTGCTCTCACCTGAAACACAGCAAAACAATTCAGTGTTACTGGCGGCTTCCATTGTAATAACTGGCCTGCGTTACTTTTGTGAAGGATTATTTTGCCAGTTACCCGTTTGGCTGAGCCGCCACTGCCACCTACTGGCGAAACTAAATATCGCCCTAACATCACATCAGGTGGGAGCAAATGAGCTTTTCGCTCTGTGTTATGATGCAAACTATTGTCACAACAAATAGCAAAAAATGATGATGGGGGGTGGGCACGAACACATAAGGAACACATCTGAGACTTGTTCTTAATGCTCAAAATACTCAGGGCGCCACATTTATTTTCATTGGCAGCATTTAATATAAACACGTGTCGCCAGTGTAACGTGAGAGAAACTAACATCGGCCATCATCGGTCTCACACCAACCTGCCCTTTCCCTCCTGCTGCCACCCCGTCACTCGTCTCCACCTTGTCTCCAGGTGTTTAAACTCCACCTTCACCGTTCCACCATCTATTCAGTCCTCTTCTCCACCAAACCCACTGAGAATATGCTGTGAATATTTTGTCTTCAGCACCAGTGTGAGCAGACTGTGGTCACTGTAGGCTAACTGCTTCATGATGATATAATGTGGAAAAATGTATTTTATAACTGCTCATTTGAACCATTTGAAGGTTATGGCCGATGCCTGGCTAAGAGCCCAGCAGGGTTATATTAAATGTGGCCAAGCAGGCCTTTAAAGTTCACATCAGTCAAGCGGAGGACGCTGTGAACTCGTCAGACTGGAGCTGCTCCGACAGTAAAAAGTTCCTGAAATCTCGTCCCGTTCGTGTGATGGCGTATCCTTCCTTATTTACATGTGTCACATAGCTGCGTTCGCTTCACTTTCAGCAGCGGCTCATTAATCCACGTTACTTTGGTTCTTACTGACTCTTCAGTTTGACACCCGGCCCGACCACATCCTTCCTCAAACTTCAGTCGCTCAAATGCAAAGAAGTACAACCGTCTTTCTTTCGCTCTTACAGTAAAACTAAAATAGGTGTGGCGTGACTAAACACTGCCAAGAAAGACAGAAGAGCCCAGAGGAAGTACACATCAGAAGTTGTTTTATTAAACATATAAATACAAATTTAAACAAAGGAAGTGAAAAAAAAAGTACATGAGCGAAATCTCTAAAACAGAGTCGTGGATCAGAGTCTGTGAGGAAGTGACCAGAGCTAAAAACATCTTTTAATGACCCTTCGACCAGTTTGTAAAGTCCTCGGCTGGATTTGAAAGGCCTAAAATATGATGCAAAAACAAGAGTAGGAGCAGAGTGGACAGGCCGGTTAATCCACGCTGCGGGAATCTCAAACAGAGCCTCCGAACCCCGCGGATCGTCGCCAACAACAAACCAGGCGGGAGGTCACCTTCCAGCCGCTCCTCATTTGCCTCAACTCGTCCAGAACGAGTTCAGACTGGAAAAAATTTGCCCTGAGGTCAGCGAACGCATCATCAGAGATAAGACTTTTAGGAAAAGGTCTCTTTAAAAGCTCCGACCCTGAAAAGCGTCCACTGACCTCCGCGTTTCACTGTGGAAAAGCTGGCGGCGGCTGTGCGATCCACCAACGACTGAGCCCATAAACCAAAGCTTTGGTGGGTTCAGTCGCAAATGTGAAATTTTGTACTTGGAAAAAATCAGATTTTCCAAGTTTTTTAAAGCCAAACTTGCGTTTACTGACATGATGGACTGGAAATCATTCAACTTTAAAAGGGATCGATCAGCCGATCATTAGTTGATTTTCAGTCCAAATGTTTCACACTTAAACTTTTCCAACGACTCAGCTGTAAGACTGTTACGTTTACATCTTTAACTCTAAATACTCGGTTACGCTTCCACCAGTGGAGCCGATCGAGGCTCCAACAATCGAAGCAGTGTCGATTAAACTGTTAACGATTGATTAAGAATCTGTTCTTAGTTCATTTTAAGCAAATCTCTTCATAAAGTTCAGTTTCAGGGTTAACGCGTGGGCTCCTCAGAGGGAAACCAGACTGTGGCAACAATTTTCCCACCATTTCAGCGCCGCGACGTTCTGCTGAAAGCGTCCTCGCTTTGTAAAAAGGAATTTGGCGTAAACAGCGTTTCGACAGCGTTACGCCACATTAAAGTCTGACAGCGTGCAGGCGTTGCCGTAAAGCTGAGCGTTTAGCCTGTTAGCTCACAGCGCTCGAGTTCCCTCGCATCATTTAAATCTGAGAGTCTCCGATGTCAGCGACCGACACGCCCCTCCTGCAGCGAATAAACGCGGTTCACGAACGGCTGATTGTCAGAACAAAACCTGAAAACTCCTCACTCCTCTTCCTCGTGACGTAAACGCAACTTTATTTTACTCGCCGTGACGCATGCAGGACTTGTCAAACAGGAAGTCCTGCGGAGTACATTCAGAGCGAGCGCGGGGCCCCGCCCACTCACTCAGGTGGAGGTAGGAGCGTTTGAGTGTCTGAAAGGTTGTGTGGAAATTGCTGAGTCGACCTTTAACCTCTCGCAGACACATGGCGGAGGAGCTGACATTAGAAAAAAAAAAAAAATAGAAGCGCTCTCAGAAGTTCAACTGGAATCTTTTTATTTACAACCCAGAAAAGCTCGAGTTCTGCTCTCTAATCCGGCTTCACATCAGCAGCTTATTGCAAACTTTCCATCTCAGCTCATTTTTGACCTTCTTCTTCTTCTGTCATTTATTCGCCGCACTCAGCTCATCATCACAGCTGACCCCACCCACAGACGTCGGCGAACATTACTGAGCTCGTCTACATCGGTGCATCTATATCAGTGCAATGGAAAAATATCAAATCTGCTGCACGATAAAGATGAAAGATCTCAATCCAAACAAAGATACGAATTTTTTTTTAAAAAGGAGGAGATATTTAGGTTTCGTTTTTTTAATTTGTGCCCCGAAGCACATGCACGCACTGCTCATGAAAGACTGATGTGGCTTCTGGGCGTGAATATTGAAAATGATGCATTCCTGCTAATGCCCAACAGGGGGCGACTCTTTTACTTACTTGACCTCTGACCTCAGCTGTACTTTCCTGATAAGTTTATGGTCAAAGTCACTCAGTAAAAGTCGCCAACTGAATGTTTTAAAACAGGACGTTTCAAATTTATGGGTGATGTCCATCTTTTATATACAGTCTATGATGGTGTTACAGTTTCCATGACAAAACACAAACTTGTTGATTTAAGTCCAATTTTTGATTTAAATAGTAAAGAAAAGCCTGAATCATTCTGAAAGAACCTCAGCTGTGCACAAAGGTAACGCTTTGACTGTCAGATGAAGCCTGAGGACGTCACGTTCTGTCCAACCTTCTCATATCTGCGGTTTATTTCATCACATCAGCAGATGTGAAAGAATCAGAGCACGTGTTTAGTTTTATTTATTTGTAAGTGGAATTAAAAATCTGTAGATTCAGGAGGTGGAAACAGGAATCGTGAAGAGAACGACAAAAAAAAAAAAGAATCATTGGACATAAACAAGATTACATTTATTTTAAATTTTCTGCCTCAGGCACAGTTTCTCACTTCCAGCTGTGTTCACATCTGGCAGGTGTGCAGCAAACTCAACATTTTTCCATCCAGCTCAGAAAAACCTCCTTAAACAACTCGGCACTCAGTGAGAAGCACAAACTGGGATCGTCTCTGACATCACGTTAGTGTCTGCAGCCCGGGCGGAAACTTTGTAGCTGACCTGTTGATGCACATCTGTACTCCAAACACACACACGTCTGATTCGTCCTCCTCTTGGTCTGCTGGTTTATTGTCGACTTCCTGTCTGATTTTTTTCTGACAAATGAAAAGAGAGTCTCTAAAAATCACGTCTCATGGCTCCGATCCTCCGTAAGTGCTCTGTTGGGGTTCTGCTCAGAGCGTGGCTGGGTTCAGTTTCTCAGTGTCCTCGGAGACCCTCCAGTGTCGCCCTCCGGCTCGCAGCAAAGCCAAACTGCTCGTGTTCAGTTCAGAGAAACGAGAAACAAGAAATCCTCCCCCCTCCCGCCCCTAAAACCCCAGACCCTCCCGCCCTGCCCGAGCTCACTCAGCCCGCCGCTCAGCCTCATCTCTGTCCATGAAGCGCCGATACAACAGGGGGCTGCTGGGAGCCGTTGGGCTGGGAGACGGGGGGCCACATAGGAGTCTGTTGCATGTGGTGGTAGTGATTGTGATGCATGTGGTGACCCGTGGGCGATGATGGGGGCAGCCAGGCCGGCTGGTGGCTGGGTGGCGAGGACGCCCAGAAGGAGCCGAATCCCGCCGTGGAGGAGTGAGTCGGTGGAGAGCACGCCATGGACACCTGGGAGGGCCCACTGCCGGAGCCACACTCGGACGCCCGCAGTTTGGAGAACATGGTGATGGCATCGGGGAAGTTGGGTGGTGTGGCGGGGGTGTTTCTGGGAGTGCACATCTGCAGGAAGAGGAGAGAGAGGGAGGATGGTTTCAAAATAAAAGCCTGGAGGACTTGTTGTAAAACTTCAAATGCTTTAATGTGAAGTCAGAAGAAGAAAAACCTGAACTGTAAAGAGTTGGAGCTCTGCTGACACACACACACACACACACACACACACACACACACACACACACACACACCCCTCCCAACGCGTGCACACAAACCAGAGGAGGAGGAATGAAAACAAAACACGCCTGCTGCAGGCGTCCCAGCACGACCGAGGATCAGATCCAGGGAGGCAGAGGCAGGAGATTTAATGAGAAGACGCACACACACACGCACCCACCCACACACACATACACACACACACACAGACACACACACAGACACACACACACACACACACACACACACACAAACACAAACACAGACACACACACACACACACACACACACACACACACACACACACACACACCGAAGGAAAGTCAGGAGGGCCATTGGACGACCCAGACTTTCTAAGGCTGCTGGAGGCGGAGCCACACATGCTGCTCAATGAAAATAAGATTATTAAACAGCTTCGTTTTAATGAGGTCAGCATCTGCGAGTCTGCAGACAATAAACCAACACGGTGGAACAAAACCCGAGCCACGACGACACGCTGGCTGCACCCATATTTATATATTTTTTTATGTTTATGGTTTACTGGGGGGGGCAATAACCGTCTGTTGGCAGGTCGCAGGAACTTCCTGGAGTCTCCACCAGCGCCCGAGATAAAACTGACATTAATTACCCTCCATATGTGGTACAGATGGTTGAACCCGAGTCTCAGGTGCAGACCTTTTAGCCCTTCCCCTTCCTTTTACGGCGTGCGACACGCCCATCTCATGAGGTGATGTTTAGCGACGTCAATTCGGAGAAACAAACAGTTGCGCCTGCAGCCACAGATCTGTGTCACCAAAACAACAGCGGGATGACCACAGTGACTTTTACGCTGCCTGTTGGAGCTCCGCCTTCTCACATGTTCACGATGAGCCGGCGAAAGGCCTCCTTCCCGACGTAAACAGCCAGGTGTGTTGTTTCAGCGCCGAGGTGCACGGCGTGCAGAGGCGGTAAACCTGCGGGCATTTTCCTGTTGCTGTTCAGGCCGGATCGGCGTGTTCGTTACAAACGGCCTCGCCTCTGTAGATTTCCCGTGAGCCTCGGAGAACCGGTTCTGTGGTGTGCTGCGTGTTGATGCATCGCACTGATGACGTTGGACCAAGAACAAAAACACCAGCTTGCCGGGCGCCACGTGACCTCACACAGAGCCAAATAATCAAACTTTTACTTACGAGTCAAAAATGATCCTCAGGAACAGGATCGATTGGTTCTTATTAACTCTCTGAGGCGCTGCTGCACGTGCACACACGCTCTCTCATTAATCTCCGAGGCGTCTAAGAAGGAGAAGAAGCCGCTCGGCTGGTTCCCGCGGAGCTTTTTATTTCCTCAAGACTTCAGTGTTATCTTTAATAGTTGATCAGTTTACAGACACACATGTGGATTCCCATTTCCCCCATACTCTGAAAAACTGTTTGTACTCAAAATATTTTTTACATTTTTCTAAAATATTCCACTAAATTTGTCAATATTTGTTCTTACGGCAAAAAGTCCAAACTCTGCCATTTTCTGAGCCTCAAACAAACTCATTACTTTCACAATAAAGGCTCCACATCGCCGCTCCCTCCTCCTCCTGTGCACCCGGGAGGAAGTTGGGCAGCTGATGCTCGCTCAGAGCGCTGAGTTGCTTCAGTGCAGATGATGAAGATGATGTCACCCAAAATAACAACAAAGCAGCCTGCTGCCTCAACACCCCCCCCCCCCCCCCCTCCCAACGCGTGCACACAAACCAGAGGAGGAGGAATGAAAACAAAAACGCCCTGCTGCTAGGCGTCGCAGCACGACCGAGGATCAGACTCCAGGGAGGCAGAGGCAGGATGATTTATAAAGATCGCAGATACACGACTACACATGCACACCCACGTACCACACGCCACGCACGACACACACTACACGACACACGACACACATCACACACCACGCACACACCACACGCACACACACACACGCACTCAACACACACACACACACGCACACACACACACACACACACACACGCACACACACACACACGCACGCACACACACACCTGTCTGCTCACTGTGACGCAGGTCTGCACATTTTCTCTTTCTAAGCCGGTAATTATTAAATTACAGGGCTGCAGTTGGAGATTAAACAGTTATTATGGCTGCACACGCCCGTCGTCCTAACAGCGCTCAAACACAAACACAGCGTCTGTGCGAGCAGCTCGCCCTCCACCTTCTGCTGCTCTCTGTGACTAAACCAACCGGCAGATGCAGGAAGAAGGAATGGCGTGGACCATCGAACTGCTTCCTGATGTCTGAACGGCAGCCTGTGGATCGCCACGCTGAACCCCCACCATCCAACCACAACCACAGAAGACTTTCATAAAATCGTTGTGTTTAGTAACGTTTTCACGCACTTACCATCTGGTGGTGATGCCCGGGGACGTTGGCCTCCTGGAAGAAGGAGCTCAAGGCCGTCTGCAGACAGAAAGAGAGGCAGAAGGACGAGTTACGTTTCCACATGGAGAGCAAGCAGGACGCATTCATTTCCCCCAAAACCTCAGACAGGAAGGGCCGCCCCATACCCCCACCTTTCACCATCGTTAACACAAAGGGCTAAACGTATCATCTCCACGCTGCGACCTGAAACTGAGTCATCAGACCGCAGAGACTCTTTTTTCTGCAGAGCTGCTGGGAGTGAAACCTCGAGGGAGGCGAACAAAAACCAGACTTTCTGTTTCTGAAGAAATGATCTGCAGCTTCCTGCAGAGCTGACAACATTTTTAAAGCCACAGAACGAAAACGAGCTTATTTCACAGCCAAACCACCTGAAGCAGCCGAGGTCATCGCGCCTGGAAGCATTGATAACATACCCAAACTGATCAGTTATAAAAGGACTGACTTATCGATGATCATCGACTCATGTGTCACATCATTTTTCATTTCCTGTCTCGGGGCATTAACCGCCAGAGACAACCTCACAAAACCCAAAAAGACGTTTAGTTTCATGTTTGCAGAAACACGCTGAAAGTGTTCGGATTTAAGCAGCTGTGGTGCAGAAACACTGGCAGTGAAGTAAGAAACAAAGAGTCTCATCAGCGTGTCCTGTTTCGTCCTGTGTGACATTGAGCTGGGTTGGACTGACTCAAACACTCGTATCTCTGAAGGTCTGCAAGTTTTCAGAAGACAAAACACGAGCGAACTTTTCCAGCTTTCCCTCACAGCAGCCTGAAATGTAAACAGTGCGTCTCCTGATTGTGCAAACAGGGAAACGAGTTGGCTTCACGTACGCATCGTCTTTGTTGTGAACTCAAACGCACGCTGTGATTGCAGAAGGAGAAACACCGGGCCGACCCGACGCTACAAAACATTTCCCGAGGACCCAAGGGACCCCCCCCCAGCAATGTTGTGGGGGGGCGGAGTCATCCCACAGGTGGGAACTGACCAGGGAGGACCACTTTAGACTTTCCATTCCCAACACTTAAAACTGAGACAGCCAGTGGACTGATTTCTGCACTAAGGACTCGAACACCTCGGAGCTCCACTGTTCCCAGCATCTTCAACGTGCAGGAACATTAAAACCAGCACAATATTTAACCGTGCATAACAGATAAAAATCACTGAATGTGGTGTTTGCTGAGTTCAATGTCTGCAGTAACTGTGGGACTGCAGAGCTCCTGTGGTCTGAACAGGGAGCGTGAGCTTGTTTTGCAGCTCAGTTTCTTCTTTTTGTTCCCAACACTTGAATGAATGCCGTGCCCTTCCCTCCCCCTCCCCCCAGCCCTGGCTGTTTAACAACAGCGGTGGCGCAGGAATGTCTGCCGTACAACGTGACACCCATCTCAAAGAGCGAAAGTGCTCGGCCGCTATTGTGCGAAGAGCCGCTCTTTGTCTCGTCTCGTTTAATTTTCTGGTTTGTTGCAGGAAACTCCGTAACCTGCGAGTGTCTTTAAAAGTCCTTGCAGAGGGAAAACGGTTCACGGCAGCGTGACGGCTTTTACTTTCACTCTAGTGCCTCATGACCAAGGACAAAAAAAAACAGAAGCTCCAACAGAAAAAGAAACTTCCTCTTTCAGCAAAGGGGCAAACCGGGCGGTTCGACAGGAAGTTAATCAGCAGCTATTTTCATTGTCATTGTAGTAATTTTACAAAAACAGCATGAACACATTTCCTGCTTCGGGCTCCTCACGTGTCACCGTGTTCGCTCAGAACGAGTCAACACTGTACAAACACAGTCATCATCATCAACATGATAATCAACACAAAACACTCATCTGGACCTGCCAACGTCACTCAGCGCTCGGGTCTGTTTTCAAAAGCTTTCTTTCCCCTCAAACAAACGTCTTCCACCAACTTCGTTACTCCAGTTACTCGTCCACAGGTTAAATCTCAGGATTATTTAAGGTCCGTGCGTCTCTTCACAGCCGGCTGACAGACAGGCTGAAGGTCTGTGGTCACGCGGTTCCTTAACATCATTCAATCTTTCCCCATAAATGTAAACTTTGAAACTTCTACTCTTGGGTCTGTATGATGTCAGTGAGAGGCAAGTGACACAGGCAAGATAAATACAGATTATTTTTGACCTGTGAGTCAGCAGGACATCCAGCGTGAACGTAAACACCTGGACGATTGTTCTAAAAGAGGAAATTGTCCACAGAGACTGAACGAGTTTGTGTATCAGGCTGTAAACCTGTTGATTTCTGCTGGAATGTTCTAACATGGGAGTCTATGGGGACTGACTAACTGCTGGAGCCTCCAGTGGACGTTAGAGGAACTGCAGCTTGATTCTCTTCGTTCAGCAAACACCAAAACAAAATAACAGTTTGCTGTGGGGACATGTTAGCGTGGTGGGACTGAGGTCTACTGCAAGTCCGGCATCTCAGACGCGAGGAACGCCCACATCCTTCACACCAAGGTTGCGCCTATAACCCGTGCTTCTCCCTCGGCGTTGTCTTCCAGGATTCAGCTGTATTATGTTGGCCAGGTAACGTGAAGGTTAGTGACTCACCCCAGAGACACAACAACACTCCTTAATCCCAGTTTCCAGTCACACACACAAAGTAGCAGCGCACAGCACTTTTTTCCAAATAAACAAGTCAGCCAATCACAGTCATAACCCCAACTCCTGACAGTACTCCAAACATCACCACCGCCTCCTCCCCTCCCGGTGCAGCACCTGGCTGCAACAGACAGAGGTGTGGAAGCTCAGGTGACCGTTAGCTGTTCAGCAGGTCAATGCTGCGGATGGGTGCGTTTGATGAAATGTCAGTAAGATGTTCTGGAAGGTGGTCAAGGAGAAATCATCCACACAAACGCAGACAGATGGGACCAGAAGTTGTAAACAGGACCTGGGTACACCTAAATCTTTTTTTTTATCCTTTATTTATTTCATTGAATAAGAATAACGTTCACAAATTGCTGTGAGGTGAGGCAGCACAGAACCGTAGTGAAACAACTTTTCAGGAATGGCTGATGGACTGCCAATGCTGCCTTATCAGGCTCAGCACAGTCTGTGCATTTCTGCTTTTTAAAGATAGGCCAAAATAAAAATGTCAGACTTCTTCCAGCGATCCAGTCTGAGATCATTCAATTAACATTTTGGATCCATGAAAAGGAAAATCCCCAAGTCTTAATCCGATCCACAATCTGTGATCGGTGGTTAGAGAGAGGCTGAGGAGGATTTCAAACACGAGTGCGAGTGTGTTTTCTTCATAAGCTGGCGAAAACACAGCGCTCTGTGCTGCAGCACATGAAGGAAACAAGCTCAGGCCTGTTTAGCAATGAAAGAGGAAACCAGTGAGGAGCAGAGGGAGCCTGACCGTCACTTCATAGAAATTTCCAAGTTTGTTGTTCAACAAAATCTGATCAATAGTGGCTACTTTTCATTTTCCAGTGAGCACAGAGCCCTCTGTAATGACTTACAGCTGGCCTGTGTATTTACACTGTACGCTTTATTGAATTATTAGCCTGACCATCACAGGCCCAGTAAACAGTCACGTCCCCGGCATGCGTATCAGATTAATATCATGGGACCCACTTTCTTCATGAGAGGGGAAAAAGAGGAGAACCAGCAGCTCAACCACGCATTTTATGACTCCCACTAAACACAACGAGCAGCTAAAGGCTCGTCTTCTGTTATCCGCTGGCCTGCCTCGCCCTGTTAGAGGAGGACTTCTCGGCTTTGAATCATAATTAGAGACACGAGCGCCACGTTGGGAAAACTGCGAAGAAACAGCTCAAACTGACCTCCACCAGCCAGCTTCAACTTCTAATAGGTGTTAATGGCACACGGAGGTCCGTGTATAGGAACAGCTGGAAGGATAATGCATCTTAATCGGTCTATATATAACCGAGAAGCACCGGGATCAATGTCAGGGCGCTTAGCGGGGAGCACGCACGGTCTGACCTCTTTATCCGCTCCGTGAAGCGGACACAAACAGGCAGAGAGCCGCTCGCTGTGCTTCCAGAAACTCACACAGGAAACGTGATGAAACGATTGTTTTTGAGCTGGGCAGGGAGGGGCTGATCCATCAGATCACCCTGCGAGCTCTGACGGTAAACAAGCCTGACCTGTAGTTTATGATCTGTGAGTAATGCGAGCGGATGAAAAACAGCGCATCTTATCTTATCAGCATCTCCACGCCAAAATAAACACCGCTCTACTCCTTACACAGCCCTGGTCCAACCCGAGCGCACTACCGCTCTGCCCGGCTAACAGCAGCTAGCTTAACGGCGAGGCGACGGAGAATGTAAACAAAAAGCATCGAACACCACGTCCTCAGCGCGGCTAGGCGGCTAACGCTAGCCCCGGGAGCGCATGGCAGCGAGGCAGCACGGGAAATCCTCAAAACAATCACCACAGCGAGTTCACGGGCACCTCTTTGTACACCAAATCACGCGTGGGGGTTAATAAAAGGACTCAACGTGTAAATAAACCTCACACTCACCTCGAACTGCCAGTGGGCCGCCTGGAGGAGCTGCTTCGCCTGATCCGCGGCGCAGCCAGCCGTCAAAACAAACTGGTTTATCATCACTTGGTGCCTCAGTTCTTCCATATTGACCGACATGGCTGCTCCCGCGGCTCCTTTACAGACAAAAACTGCCACCTTTTTTTCTAAAAAATAAAAAAAAATGATAATAACTAAACCCGGACCTGAAGGAAGCCCCGAGAACCTTCCGTCCTTCCTGCTCGTCTGTCCGTGAGTCTCCGCAGCAGCAACAACAATGTTTTCATGTCATCGCAACAACAAAGAGCAACGCGTCACTGATTGGACGGCTCCACGGCGAGAGAGTACTACAGAGGCGCTGATTGGCTATCGATGAAACGAGTTTAAATTTCTTCGGTGCGCTGGTTTTAAGTGTTAGGACTGTGTCGGTAGGTGGAGTCTTAAAGAGGGGTGAGTGAAAACCGTCCACGCCGCCCTCAGTGTTTGTCGAGTATGGTTACACAAGCGCTTTCATTTGTGTTCGTTACGCTGACGTAATGTTCGATCGGCCAGTTGCCGTAAACTCATAGAGCCGATTGGCTGCTTCCTTACGAGCTTCACACGTGTAAACACTGTAAATATTTTGTTTTATTTTTTGAAACATATCCCGTTCATAGAGTCAACCCGAGAAAGACATAATAAATTAAATACATTTTTAAAATTTAATTTTATAATTTATTTAACTGACTGCCTATATTTTTCTCATATGCACCACAAAAACCTGATATATCAAAAATACATTTTAAATTAAATAGGCTACTATAAGGAGTGTGTTACATAATACACGAAGGTTTACTTTGCGTTTGCTTTTGCATTTATCAAAACTGTAATATATACTGTAGTAATATGAAACAACACATTTCGAACACAACCGATTTATTCAGTAATTTGTTTCCACAGCAATGCAGAATATTCATGAGAATTACAGGGTATTTTAAAGATTTGTAACGTATGTGTTAATTTACAAACGTTTTGATGTAAGAGATTTTTCTGTTATTAGTACATAAAGTCCAGGATTTAAATAATTTAATTGCTTTTATTAATAAATTTTTCATATAAAGAATATTAAATCCATGTTGGAATCCAACTAACTTGAATTTGCCTATTAACAATAATAATACTCATCCATCCATCTTCATCCGCTTTATCCGGGTCGCAGAGGCAGGAGTAATAATACTGATATGTACGTGTCTGTTATTCATGTATGTCTAGTTTTTCACTACTTTTTCTTTTTCTGACCACATACACATGTCTTAAATGTGTATGCTCCATATAATATATCATATCCTATAAACGTGACTTCCATTGATGTTTTTCTGAAATAAGGAGCTAATAATGAAATTGATTTTGCCTTCACAAACATCTTAGTTGTTGTTGTTATTGGACAATAAACCAAAATTAACATCTCAGGAGCACATCAAAAATAAATCATGCTGCTTTATAAATGATGAAGCATAATCTATTTAAACACTAACGTGACAGTGAGAACGTAAAGAAGGACATGAAACTGATCGTTGTATTGATATCCTGACCCCTTTTCACCACATGAGCTTGCAGAGACGTTTCTAGAAACTTTTAAATGGTGTGGCCCCAGGGTGGCAGACTGTAGTTCCTCCAACATCCACTGTCAAAAAGCTGACCGGACTTCTGTAGCTTTCGTGAGGACATTTGATTTCCCATCCAAGAAGCTTCTTCATTTCTAAAACCATCTTTGAACTGTTCAAAGATGGATTTGTAAGTTACAACGCCAACTGTCTGCCACCTACAAAACAGTTTTGAGACCCTTCCAGTTGATCTCAATGATGATGGTGTGAGGGAAAGTCTCACAATGGATTCACCCGAAACCTCTGTTGATAATGACCCACGCCCTTTTTTCACACCTTTGCTCATGCTAATAGTGGGTCAACGACCCTCTTAAGGGATAACTCCCATAGACTTTAAACGCCTCCACCATTTGGTTTTAGCACTGAAGATACATTTTGCTTGAGACCCCAAAAGATTCCGTTTTGATTCATGATCAATCGTCCAGGTAAGTAAATCCCCAAAGTTTGATTCGGTTCATCTGGACGTAGAGTTTTCAGTGGGAGAAACGTTTCGTCACTCATCCAAGTGACTTCTTCCGTCTCGCTACGTCCAGATGAACAGAACCAACAGTGATTCACTTACCTGGATGACTGAGCAGGTAAAATGTCTTCACAGAATTTTAAAAAGTCTTTCCAAGCTCCTTAGATTTCCGTGACCTGGATAACTGAGAACCTACACAGATATATGTGGATGCATCTTACTAACCGCTAACTTAGCACTCCAACATCTAACCTAAACATGGTCACTTCTGGCTTCAAAACCCAAGATGGCTGCAGCTAAAACTCTAACACAGAGACTTCAAACATAGAGTCATGTTCCAAGGGGTACATCCATCTTTGATATACAGTTTGTGGTTTCCTCTGGTAACATGCTGCATTTTTCTGCAAACACTTTTAAAATTTAAAAAGCCTTTTGCATGATGGGCTACAGATAAAAGGAACAAGTGTTTGTGCTTGGATGAGCGTCGTGGCTTCGACACGAAACACTATCAGCCTGTCCCCTCAGAGCTGAGCTCCAGAGGACCCACAGTGATGGTTCTCCTGATGAACACTGATAATCTTCTTATCGGGGCAGAGCAGCTCTCGGCTGCAGGCTGTCCGGCTCTCTTTCTGCCATCAGGTGAATAATTCAGCCCTGCTGCAGGTGAAGGAGCATGTGACACAGGAGGGCATCTATTATGTATTATTGGAGGAAAGAGGAAGACTATAGGGACACAAAGCTCCTGACAGGCTTCAGCAGGTCTAGTGGTTCTGTTTGCTCATGAGAACATCACAGCAGATGGACCTGCTCTCCTTTTGCTTTATTACCTGTCAGGTATCTCAGTTCAGGAGCTGGATGTGCAGATTAAACATGGCCAAAGTTTCAGTTAATGAGGTCAGTGTGTGTGCTGTAATCCTCAGGATTCAGACTGCTCTGAACGTTCAGTCGGTCACAGTGTTTTCTAATCTTGGCTCTCTGTGATGTCAGAGAGGGAGGATACGTATAATTTAGTCCAAAGACTGTATATAAATGATGGATGTAGCCACTGTGATGGCCCCCACTGGAGGCTTCGCTGGTCTGATAGTCTTTGTGTCCTTGAGATACTTAATTAAAGACGACAGGTCGTGTTAGTTGGTGGTGTGATGTTTGCAGCTGCTGCCCGAATTCCTCAACTTTTATTTCTGTCCAGTCTTAAACTTGACAAAGAACACTCAGCTCTGATGATCATGTGAGTCCTCATTGTGTCAATTACACACAGACAGGGGGGCATATACACAGGAAACAAGGCTGGTCCCCAAACTGACCCCTGGCACACATCGAGCCAGGGCGTCCACGAAAAATGATTTTAGTGCAAAGACTAAAATCGTCCCTTTCTTTATTTTTATTCTCTTATTCTGTAATATTTTTATTTCTGATGCTTGTTTCGTGTTTGTTGTGCTCAGCCTGTTTTTTATCTGTGGAGCACTTTGAACTGTGTGAACATGCTGTTTGTGTCCTGATTCGCTGGCTGAGGCGACACCATGTTCAAAACAAAGTGTGTCGGTTCTTATCTCTGAATAATTCCTTCAAATGCAAATATTCCTCAGATCTTTGGAATTCTCTTCAGAAGTGGCGTCAGGGCAGTGAAATTAAATCGAATGTTGTGAAAAGTGATGTTTTATCAGCGAGCGGAGACTTTTTAACCTGCATTTATCTCTGGTGCAATATTTGTCATCTGTTAACATATTTATTGAATTCTCAGTGACTCACAGCCACTAACTGACCTGACCTTTAACTTGTACTCATCAAAGGAGGGGAGAACAACTAAGCTGTAGTGCCTCTTCACTTCACTGTGCAATACTTTTGTTAATAGTCAACGATGCAATAGACCTCAATACTAATACAACACACACACACACACACACACACAAAAAAAAAAAAAAAAAAAAAAAAAAAAAAAAAAAAAAAAAAAAAAAAAAAAAAAAAAAAAAAAAAAAAAAAAAAAAAAACAAAAAAAAAAAAAAAAAAAAAAAAAAAAAAAAACAAAAAAAAACCAAAAAAAAAAAAAAACACAACATAACACTGCAACACAAGAAGACAACAACATGTAATTTCACAGTATTTAAAATCTACATATCCACTATTACCTTCTAATTTTAAATCCCCTTCGTATATTTTATTTATATATGTCTCTGTTCTGTTATATGTGTGTGTGTGTGTGTGTGTGTGTGTGTGTGTGTGTGTGTGTGTGTGTAGTGTGTGTGTGTGTGTGTGTGTGTTTTGTGTGTTGTGTGTGTGTGTGTGTGTATATATAATATTCTGTAACTCTGTAACTTCTGTCGGTGCTGTGCTTTTGGAAACCGAATTTCCCAGAGGAACCCACCCGAGGGATTAATAAAGTTTTATCTTATCTTATCTTATCTTATCTTATCTTATCTTATCTTATCTTATCTTATCTTCTTGGTGGGGGATGTTTGCTCGTAAGTGAGGGTTTGTCTCTGAGCGGATGTTAAAAATGAACCTGAGCAGTAAAACAAAAGCACATTTGGATTTCATCCAGCAGGACGAGATGCACTTTTATCCGCCTGCTGGAGACGTGCAGGGCCCCCGATGCACCGTCGTCTCTGATGGAACGGGAACATCAAGCTTTCTGTATCACTGCTTTTTTTCTTTTTCTTGCTTCCTGGAGCTGCTCGTGCTTCATGGTTCCCGTCTGAGCTGCTGCTGAATGTTAGAAAAGTTCAGCTGGGGGTCATCTCACCACCACAGCAAGAGCGGGGGGTGTCTGTGAGAGTCAATGGTTAACAGCCGTCTGCACAGCTCAGTATTTACAAAAACACAATGATTATTGACGGAAGTACTCAAGTACTGCAGAAATACTCAGTTACACCCTGAACAGCAAACTCACCTTTTAAACGAGGTGATTCATCCTTTAGTTTTACTGCACAGTTCCCACCTTCACTGCGCTCTGTGATCACAGCTCAAAGCAGTTACTGCAACCATCCACAGAAAAATGAGGCTTCAGTCATTTTTCTGTCAAAACTACAGAAATAACCCCAAAAATCTGCAGTTCCACACTTTAAACTTTAAAGCTTTGAAGCTTTGAAGGAAAGTCGGTTACTTTATAAAAGTAATACATGAATCGGTTTCTTTAATTATCACAGGAGTCGTTGCACAGACGTCTGACAGATCCTGTCACGTGTTCCTGTGATGACAACAGAGAACAGGAAGTGCAAAACAAAAAACAAAAAAAACCACTGCGAGAGAGAAAAAAACCATCAC